TGGAACTAGGCCCACCCGTGGGAAGAGAGGAAGTACAAGCTAGACACAGAAGTGACCCTGCATGAAGGACTTGTTTAGGACAAAACCATTTCTTCTTCTTTCTTTTTTTTTTTGTGGTACGCGGGCCTCTCACTGTTGTGGCCTCTCCCGTTGCGGAGCACAGGCCCCGGATGCGCAGCCCCAGCGGCCATGGCTCACGGGCCCAGCCGCTCCGCGGCATGTGGGATCTTCCCGGACCGGGGCACGAACCCGTGTCCCCTGCATCGGCAGGCGGACTCTCAACCACTGCGCCACCAGGGAAGCCCCATTTCTTCTTTTTTAATCTGTCGTCCTCTCTCTGTTGGGAGCTACTAACCCAATGTGCTCCAGATAAAGGAGGAAGTCCAGTTTAGCAGGCAAAACACAGTGTCTAGAGTCATGGTGGTTGATCAGAATTGTCAGTGCCCAGGCAGACTCCTGGGGCCTTGATAGGTGGGCAGAGGATAGGAATGGGGCATCACAAGCAGGTGAGGCTTGGAAGTCAGCACTTGAAGTGTCTACCTGCAGGCAGCCACCCAACTGGAGCTCAAGAGCAGAACTGGTAGAGTCAGAGGGGGCTTGGAAGAACAAAGCTAAGGCCAAATAGGGCCCATCACGGTGTTCCATTTAACAGGCCTCACATGTATGAAGGTCTCTGAGCTGGTTATTGACAAGCTTCATATACATTACAGAGAGGCACTAAGAGGACTGAAAGAAGGCAACTCTCATCATACAGTTTGGAACATGCCTCCCATTACCAGACCATTCATCTGTCATGCATCATGAATTAAGATATTTATAATCCCACAATTACCTGAGGAGCAGCACAATGATATTGCATAATATATTTTTGTTTGTTTCAAAATCACTGAGTTTTTAAATGGAGGTATTATAAAAAATACCACATTTAAAATGAACCTTGTTCTAGTATCTATTTTTATCTAATTAATAGCCTTTACTTTTTAGAACAGTTTTAGATTTACAGAAAAATTAAGTAGATGGTTCAGAGTTCCCATAACCTCCCCTCCCTGACTCTCACACACAGTTCCTCCTTTTATTAACATTTTGTGTTAGTGTGGTGTATGTGTTACAAGTGATGTTGATACATGATTAACTGAAGTCCATAATTTACATTGAGGTTCACTCTTTGTGTTGTAATTGGTCTATGGGTTTTGACAAGTGCATGAAGTCATATATCCACCATGACAGTATCATACAGACTAGTTTTGTTGCTCTAAAGATCCTCTATTCATCCTATTCACCCCTCACCCATCCCCCTGGACTTGCCCATCTCCTGGACTCTTGGCAACTAGTGATTGAAACAATCACTGTCTCCATAGTTTTGCCTTTTCCAGAATGTCATAGAGTTGGAATCATATAGTTTGTAGCCTTTTCAGATTGGATTCTTTCACTTAGCAATAAGCATTTAAGGTTCCTCCATGTCTTTTCATGACTTGACGGCTCATTTCCTTTTATCACTGGATAATATGCCATTGTTAGATATACCACAGTTTATTTATCCATTCATCTAATCAAGGATACCTGGGTTGCTTCTAAGTTTGGGCAATTATGAACAAAGATGTTACATGTACAGGTTTATGCATGAACATAACTTTTCAATTCAGTTGGGTAAAATCAAGGAGTGCAATTGCTGGATCACGTGATAAGAGTATGTTTAGTTTTGTAATAAGCCACCAAGCTGTCTTCCAAAGCGGGTGGACCAGGGCTTCCCTGGTGGCGCAGTGGTTGAGAGTCCGCCTGCCGATGCAGGGGAAACGGGTTCATGCCCCGGTCCGGGAAGACCCACGTGCCGCGGAGCGGCTGGGCCCGTGAGCCATGGCCGCTGAGCCTGCGCGTCCGGAGGCTGTGCTCCGCAGCGGGAGAGGCCACAACAGTGAGAGGCCCTCGTACCGCAAAAACAAAAAAAACAAAACAAAGCAGCTGCACCATTTTGCATTCCCACCAGCAGTGAGTGTGAGTTTCTTTGCTCCATGTCCTCACCAGCATGTGGTGTTGTGTTTTGGATTTTAGCCACTCTAATAGGTAAGTGGTGGTATATCTTGTCTTACTTTGCAATTTCCTAATGACATACGATGTTAAACATCTTTTCCTATCAGTGTTTGACATCTTCTCTGGTGAGGTTTCTGTTCAGATCTTTTGTGCACTTTTAATTGGGTTGTTTGTTTTCTTATTTTGCATTTTAAGAGGGTTGGGGTTTTTTTTTTTGGTATAATTTTGACACAAGTCCTTTATCAGATATGTGTTTTGCAAATATTTTTTCTCAGTGTGTCTTGTTTTTTCATTCTTTTAACATTTATTTGATATACTAAGAGCCTCAAAAATTGCAAGTGGCTCAGGCCTTTCTTGACTTCTGAGGAAGTACAGATGCGGTAGGTTATCCATATAAGAATTTCTGGACCTGTTTGGCCATGAGATGTGAGGGGCTCTGAGCCACTCAGACCAGTAGTCACCAGTGAACAAGTAAGAAAAAAGAAATAGTCATATTGTCCTGCAATATGGCACCCACAAGGCACTTCACGTACCTTATTCCACAACTACTTTATGAAGTAGATCAGATCATTTAGATGGGAAGTAACCCATCAATCTATCAAGGATCAAACAGGTTCAACAAACTGTCCAGGGTCTCACATTTATTACAAGGCAAAACTGGTATTCAACAACAGGACACCACAAGGCCAGATGGAAGCTAACCTGTCTCAGGGCAGGTCTCATGAGGGATGGACAGCAGAGCAAACAACTGCACCCGAGGGTGCTGAAGTTTGAGGCTCATCCCATCTCAGAGGGAAGAGGGGAACTGCTCACAGTAAGATGGATCCAGAGTGTCTGTTTGGTTTGAAGCAGGATCTCAATGAGCAGCAGAGGATGTGGAGAATAGGGTCTAATCCTCAAAGGAGAAGAAACGCAAAAATGAACAGAGAATTAAGGCTCCAGACCAGCAGACCAGGGAGAGCACAAGGCTGCAAACAGAGCCCAGATGAAGAAAGTCCAGCTCAGGCTACGCACTCAGAGCAACATGAGGGCATTACCGAGAGTCTACAGTGAGTAGGGAGGGTACGAGACTGGCCTGGCCATCGTAGCCGCCGCTCCCACACCCCCGGTGGGTGAGTCTGGGCCTGTCCGGTCAGGGGCAAGCTCAGGGTCTGCACATGTTTAAGGTTTCAAGTTAAATGCGCTCAGAGCCTGCCACTGAGCGGAGAGGTAAGAAAGCTCCCAGGAAGGCAGAGATCCCAAGTGAAGCTCAAACCGTAGACTTGGGGAAGAAAATGGAGAGTCCAATTATCAGAAGGGAGGACCTCAGGGCAAGTTGATGCTTGTTTTCAGTGTTGAGCTGGGGATCCTGAAATGCCTGTGACCTCAGGTTTCATCCCAGGGATGAGCACAGGGCTGAGCCTAGAGCTGGAGCCAGGTGAGCCTAACTATCAAAACAGGCCGACAGAGCACACCTGTGGGAGACTGGCAGCAGGGACACTGCAGGAGGAAGACTTGGGCGACAGACCCTACAGACCAATCACATCCTACAAACTGCAAGCCCAACTCCTTCAGGACGCAGGTCCTGAAAAGCAATATATAAACAGAAAGTTTGTCAGTTGACTGATACTTAAAGAGACCTAGGGGGATTTGTTGTTTAAAGGAAATGATATAGTGAATGCTTTTTGTAATGTGAATTATTACCTCCTAATTATTATTGTTGTTGCTATTTTTGAAAGTCTGGTTTTAATCCATTGATTTTCTTAAATAGAACATCCTTTTAATCTGGTCTCCTTCTATCAGATAGATATATAGATATAGATATAGGTATAGATATAGATAAATAGATATAGATCTGACATTTCCAAAAAAGAAATAGATGCTACTAAAACATCTTAATTTAGCAAGGTTTAAATTTTTTTTTTATGTTTATTTATTTATTTTTGGCTGCTTTGAGTCTTCGTTGCTGTGCACGCGGGCTTTCTCTAGTTGCAGCGAGCGGGGGCTACCCCTTGCTGCGGTATGCGGGCCTCTCACTGCGGTGGCCTCTCCCGCTGTGGAGCACGGGCTCCAGGCATGCAGGCTCCAGCAACTGTGGCACGCGGGCTCAGTAGTTGTGGCTTGCAGGCTCTGGAGCGCAGGCTCAATAGTTGCAGCACATGGGCTCAGTCACTCCACGGCATGTGGGATCCCCCTGGACCAGGGATCGAACCCGTGTCCCTTGCATTGGCAGGTGGATTCTCAACCACTGCGCCACGAGGGCAGTCCCAGGTTTAAAGTTTAATCATTACCATGTATTCATTAAACTAAAAAATATAGTCTAAACCAGAATTTCCCAAACCTGACTACACACAGAATTAAACTGGGAGTGTTCAAAACACAGATCCCTGGGTCCCACCTCTTGAGCTTCTGAGTCAACAGGAAACATAGGAAGGCTCGGGGTCTCCAGATGGGAGCTTGTGGCTTAGAGCCTTTTGTGCAGCCACGGAGATTGAGCACACGGAGGTTAGCACAGAGACGATCAGCCAGTGCCCAGGGGACAGATTTCCAGCTTACACTGAATGCAGAGATCAATGTGGTCGGGGAGAGGGTGGCTACTGGCCTAATAAAACGGTCTCCAGAACCGAGGGCGGGCAGCTGTGTGCAGCCCAACGTGGAGGCAGGCCCTGGTCACAGTAGGTCCCTCAGCCCCTGGAGAAGGCCTCTAATACGAGATGCCTATGTTGCCTAAAAATTATTAGGGGAAAACTGAATGTGCCCTGTGGTAAGCAGAACAATGCCTCCACCCCCAATGATGTCCAAGTCCTACTCCCTGAAACTGTGGATGTGTCAGTTTACATGGCACAAATAGATGGTTGTTAATCAGCTGACCTTGAGGCGGGGAGATTATCCTGATTATCTGGGGGTGGGGCCCGATGTAGTCACAAGAGTTCTTAAAAATGGAAGAGGGAAGAAGGAGAGAGCCAGAGAGATAACTGCGTGAGAAGGACTCCACATTGCTGGAGAAATGGGGCCACAAGCTACAGAATGTGGTGGCCTCTAGAAGCTGGAAAAGGTAAGAAACAGAGCCAGAAAGGATCACAGCATGGCTGACGCCTTGATGTTAGCCCAGGGAGACCTGTGTCAGACTTTGACCTCCACAATTGTAAGATAATAAATTTGTGTTGTTTTGAGCCACTAAATCTGGGTTGTAAACAACAAAAAATTTTTTTACAGCAAGAATATGAAACTAATACAATACCCATGACCAAGTTCTTAATTTTTTTTTCTTTAGAATGCAAGGAAAGGAAAACTAGAACTTAAAATCTGACAGCCTGTCACTTCTTTGGATTGCAAGGCCCTGCAACCATCTCTGGTATTTTCCTTTTCTTTTCTTTGAAGAGACAAAGAAGATTCTATATCTAAGACAACCAGTCTCATTTATTGGGCCAAGTTTTTAATATAGTATGATAGGATTGCTGGAAGATCCAGGATCCATATTTTAAAAATCTCCCTCCGTGTCTCTAAGTAGGCAGCCAGGTTTGCAAACCACTGGTCTAAAATTTAAATTCTAAACCCCATAATTAGGAGTTGCCACATGCCTAGAGAATGCGTACAGTGGATTATTATTAACCTTGGAGAGCATAACAATGTGGTGTCCACAGAGACTAAGCCTGGTGATGTAACGTTTCATCAATGACCTGAATAATGAAATGGTGAGCTCATTAAATGTGAATGTGGTACCAAAATGGAAAGCAGGCAGAGGAGGGCATTAATTAATTAATGAGGGTTGTTAAGATGGAGAGCATATTGATTCAAAGGACAGGTGACAGCAGGGTGAGGAAATGCTGGAGGAGTTGCTAGGAACGGAATGAAGTTCAATGAAGGCAAACAGAATAATACACATTCTGTAGAAGGGAAGGAAATAGCACAATAACAGGCGGGGTGGGAGCAGACTGTAAAATCAGAGAAGGATCCTGCAGTAAGGCTGATCACAGAGATGGGGGTGCTGGGAGGGTGTGCAGGAAGGCCCCCTGGCTTGGGCCTCACATTCACATGGATCCTGAAATTTAGAATTCCTACATCATTTTGGTATGTGATGAAGGCGTTCATTTCTTAATGTAAAGCTCACCACAGTTTTCTAATCCCAATTTTTTGCAACTTTTCCTTTCTTAATGCATTGGGAGCCTCAAAAAATGAAACTGGCCTAGATGTCTCAGCTTTAAGAGTCCTAACTAGAGATCATGGTGGATCACATATTCACTACTGCAATCATAGGTGTGCAGCCATAGAGTATTTTTAGAAGGATTCACAAGGAGCAGTGAGGGTCTCTGTGAGGAAATGAGATTTACTTTAATTTTTCCTGAAGAAAGTATTAATAGGTACTTTTTTGATTTTCTGTTTCTTCCCCCCAGAGTTATACACGTGTATAATCTAAAATGTCATATAGTTCTACAAGACTTGCTGTGAAAAACAGAAATCCCCTAGCTCCTCCTCACGATTTTCCACCCTTTCACTTATTTTAGATGATTCTTCTGGCATCCACCCCCATGTCCCTACAAATTTATTTATCTATTTATTTATTTGGCTGCGTGTGGGCTTTCTCTAGTTGCAGGGAGTCGGGGCTTCTCTTGTTGCGGAGCACGGGCTCTAGGCGCGCGGGCTTCAGTAGTTGTGGCTCACGGGCTTAGATGCTCCGTGGCATGTGGGATCTTCCCGGACCAGGGCTCGAACCTGTGTCCGCTGCACTGGCAGGTGGATTCTTAACCACAGCACCACCGGAGAAGTCCACCACAAGGTCTCTAAATTAACATATTTGAAATACTCTTCCTTGCTCTTTCAATGTTGGCCATTATCTGAGTTGTCCCCACCATAGAAGATAAGGATTTGGTGTCTTCCCCCCGGTTTCCCCCACCATACATGCTCCTGCTTCCCCATCCATCCCCCTGCCGACGCATTTACGCTGTGATCCCGGTTAGGTGAATATTCAGTGTGTGTGTTACTGTGGCTATAGGCACTATTCACGGCTGAAGTATAGTAAATTATGATATCTCTTCCTTTCCTGCACACCTTTTTTTGTTCCTGGAACTAGTAATTGTTTTGCTTTTTCTTTGCTTCATTGTGTATGTATGTATGTATTTATTTATTTTTATTTTTAATTTTTTTGGCTGTGCCACAAAGCTGGCGGGATCTTAGTTCCCTGACCAGGGATGGAACCCGGGCCCACGGCAGTGAAAGCGCTGAGTCCTAACCACTGGACTGCCAGGGAATTCCCTTTCGATGTATTTATATTTGCCATTTGTCTATGTCTGGTCTCAAGGCATCCTGAATCTTCAGGTATTCTAATAATGTCACCAATCTCCCAAAAAGTCTTTCCCAAAGCCTCCTAAAATGCTGCAGGCTGGACCTGAGAGAGAGCTGTCATCTTGGGCCCTCCCTTCTCTGGCATCCCAGGGATGCTTCCCTCCTGGGTAAATTCTGTGCCCTCTTCCTTTATTTGCTTCATGTTTTGACATTTGTTCTGGAGAATTCCCGAGGCAGGGGCACAGGATATGAATTTTTGAGAATTTGTATGTCTGAAATGTTTTTAATCTATCTTGACACTTGATAGTTTGGGTTGGGTACATACGGAATTCTAGATTGGAAATTATTTTCTCTGAAAACTTTGAAGACTATTTTGCCGTCTGTCCTTCAGGGTTGCTGCTGAGGAGCATGAACCGGTTCTGATGCATCATCCTTTACACAGAACATATTTTTTCCTCTTCTTTGGAAGCTTGTGGCATCTTTTCTTTGTCCTCATTGTTTTGAGATTTCACATTGGTGTACTTTGGTGTGAGTCTATTTTCAATCCTTGTGTGGGCATTTGGTGGCCCTTTCCTTCTAGCAATGCATGCTCCTCTGTTTCAGGAAATATTTTTGAATTATGTCTTTACTGACTTCCTCTCTTCTGGTTTCTCTGTTCTCACTTTTTGGATATCTGTTTTCGTATATTACATCTCCGGTTCTGAATTCTCATTTTTCTTATCTTTCATTTGTCCATTTCTTTTTCTTTTGCTCTAATTGTAGGGAAATTCACTCTTCTTTATTTTCTTTATTTATTGAATTTTTATTTAGATTACCCTATTTCTAATTTCCAAGAAGTCTTATTTGTTCCCTGAATGCTCCTTTCTCTAAGGTCATATTCTTATTCGATGGTTACATATCTTAGCCCTGAGGATATTAATTAGAGGATATTTGACGTTTTCTTCAACCTGCACGGTCTCTCTTTTCTCCAGGTTGCCTTCTTCTATTCATTTTGGTCTTTGTATTTCATGTAAGAGGCTTCCTCAATCTCTGGTAAGTGTGGATTGTCTGCTCCTATTTAAGAATGGGGAGCTGAAAAGCTGAGTGGAAAGCCTGAACCTGTAGGGGCTTTTTGACCAGAGGCTCCACTGCATGCTCTGGCTGGACTGTTTGGTTGGAGAATGCCCACATCAGTACCTTTAAGTTTTTCCCCTTGGGGAGACCAAATTCCCCAGAGAGGACTCTTCCAGGCTCATGCCCAAAGGATACAATTCTGGCTTCAGGCATTGTGGAAGCACAGTGGGGAAAGAGCCATGGGTCTCCATCTTTTCATTTAACCTGTCTGTTTTTGCTACAGCACCCAGTCCTCAACTCTGCCTGGTGTCCTCCAATCTATAGACCTCTGTTCTAGTCTCCCTGCAGTGGGGAAAGGGGCACTGGCCAGGCTCTGCAGAGAGGGGAGGAGATCTAGGAGTCTAACTGCTTCCTAAATGAACTTTCAACCACTGCTTCTGATTTTAGCATGCCCCAGCCTCTTTTCCAGAGGTATCTGGTACAGCCTATTCCTGAGCCTTTGGGGAATTCTGGGTGGTTTCTCAAATTTTTCCACTGCTGGCTTTGGATTCAGTTTTCCTCTGTCTGCTCTGTCATTGGCCACAGTTCTTACTTTCCAGCTTTTGAAACTTTGTTGCTATGGGGAGTTAAAAATTTTTTTGATGCTATTATTTCTTCCCTTTAAAAAAATTCAGCCCCAGAGGGCGCCTGCGCACCAGCATCCTGGGCGCAGGAGCCGCGGGGTTATTAGAGGTGGAGTGCGGGGAGGGTGCAAGGCAGGAGGCGGCCGCTGTTACAGCGTGGGCATGGTCACGTGGCCGTTGGTCACCGCTGCCGCCACCCCCTCCCGCCCTGTTCTCTCTCTGGTCAGCTTGGGCCGGCTGGCACCACGGGCACCCGGCAGAGACTGAAGGAGACAAAGAGGAGGGGAGGAGGATGATTCGGGGAGTAGGAGCTGGGGAGCCCCCTGCGCCACAGCCGTGTGGCTGCCAGGGTCTTCGTGTTCTGGCCGGGTGTCAGGACTGTGCCTCTGAGATGGGAGAGCTGAGTTCAGGACATTGGTCCACGAGAGACCTCCCAGCTCCACGTAATAAACGGCAGAAGCTCTCCCAGAGATCTCCATCTCAACACTAAGACCCAGCTCCACTCAACGACCAGCAAGCTGCAGTGCTGGACGCCCTATGCCAAACAACTAGCAAGGCAGGAACACAGCCCCACCCATTAGCAGAGAGGCTGCCTAAAATCATACTAAGTCCACAGCCACCCCAAAACACACCACCGGACGCGGTCCTGTCCACCAGAAAGACAAGATCCAGCCTCATCCACCAGAACACAGGCACCAGTCCCCTACACCAGGAAGCGTACACAACCCACTGAACCAACCTTAGCCACTGGGAGCAGACACCTAAAACAACGGGAACTATGAACCTGCAGCCTGCACAAGCACAGTAAGTTAAGCAAAATAAGAAGACAGAGAAACACACAGCAGATGAAGGAGCAAGATAAAAACCCACCAGACCTAACAAATGAAGAGGAAACAGGCAGTCTACCTGAAAAAGAATTCAGAGTAATGATAGCAAAGATGATCCAAATCTTGGAAATAGAATGGAGAAAATACAAGAAATGTTTAACAAGGACCTAGAAGAACTAAAGAGCAACAAACAATGATGAACAACACAATAAATGAAATCAAACATTCTCTAGAAGGAATCAATAGCAGAATAACTGAGGCAGAAGAATGGATAAGTGACCTGGAAGATAAAATAGTGGAAATAACTACTGCAGAGCAGAATAAAGAAAAAAGAATGAAAAGAATTGAGGACAGTCTCAGAGACCTCTGGGACAACATTAAACACACCAACATTCAAATTATAGCGGTCCAAGAAGAAGAGAAAAAGAAAGGGACTGAGAAAATATTTGAAGGGATTATAGTTGAAAACTTCCCTAATATGGAAAAGGAAGTAGTCAATCAACTCCAGGAAGCACAGAGAGTCCCATACAGGATAAACGCAAAGAGAAACATGCCAAGACACATATTAA